TGTGTGTGTGTGTGTGTGTGTGTGTGTGTGTGTGTGTGTGTGTGTGTAGGGGAGGACAGTGAGTGACAATTTAGGTCTAGTGGGGCCACTTCAGGAACAGATGAGGGAAGGGGGCAAATCATAGTGAGTGGCAGCAAGCTGGTGGCACGGCTGGAGCCTTCTGTATGCATTGACTCTGAGCAGGAGAAAAGCAGCCAGAGGTTCTTACTCTTCTGCACCAGGCCCTGCAAATTCTTGGAATGTTAGCTGTTTTTTCCTCCCCAGGACCGATCCTCTTTTTCTTCCCTGGACTGATCCTCCACTTCCCGTCTCCTCCTCTACCAAGTTACCTATTCTGAGTGCAAGTCAAATGTTATTAACCTATCGAAGAAAAGTGCTGTTTGTTTGTTTGTTTTAATTTGGTAAGACAGAAACTCTCCATTCTGGTAGGCAAGAAACAGACCTTATAAAAAGAAAGCCCTAAGTCCTAGAAACTTAAAAAACACAGGACAGAAGATCTGGTCTGAGTCCTGGCTCTGCCACTTGCTAGCCAAGCCTCGATGAGACAGCCCACATCACTCTGGTCCAGTTTCTTCATCTCTAAAGCCAGGACCCGGACGCGGTCAGGGATATTGACAGCTCCCTCACAGCGAGAACAGGGAAATGACTCATAAGTTGTAAACTGATGACCAAAGTGAGCAATCATTATTCTTCCATCAGCTCTCCCCACCCAAACCCTTTGAAACTTAAAGCAAAAGGGGAAAAAGTCAGTGATTAAGAGAAACTCCGTTGAGTGGTGGCTCCCGGTTCTGTATAACAGTGAACGGAAGCCCCAGGTCACCAGTCCCAGCTCCAGAAGTGGAAGGACTTAGGGCTGAATCCATTCAACAGGCCGGCAGAACATGGTGATTTTACCTCAGCACATGTGGAGACTCAGCTCGCAGGTGTGAGCAGACCAGGGGGACCCTCCTCCCCACATACTGAGAGGCCTGGCCAAGTGTGACCTGATGCCCGCGGCTGACGAGGCTGCTCACCTGTCTTCCCTCTGCATAACGTACAAGGCTGTGTCCACTGCTCTCTGCTCAATCATCCGTGCAAATCTCTTCAGCGTTGGGCAGCTCAGGAGGCTGTGCACCTGAAAGGACCACGGGGACAGTTTTACAAAGAAATGCTTCTCGTTCACTGAGTTTGGCAGCTGATCAGCTTCCACAGAGCCTTCAGGGGCCTGTCTTCTCCTGGGGAGGGCCTTAACAGCTCAAAAACTACATCCTCATGGCCCTTGTGAAGCAATTCCTAGAGATCTGAAGGCCCAGGGGGGAAAAAAAGCTGTTTTTCTTCCCTTTCTGATGGCTACCCACCTACTTCGAAATGAAAAACATTTGTATTTTTTAAAACCATAAAAAACAAGTAAATAAAATAGAGTAAGGAATTCATAAATTTATACATGAATTTCATTTTCCCCAAAATGGATTTCTAAAAAGTATGCCATGTAAATACTTTATATAAGCCTTCATCTTATAACCTTCCACCTATTTTACCCATAAGCACAGGGCATTTCTGCCTTCAGGGCGCACTGGCATCCTGACAAGAGAGGGAAGGAGGGTCCAGGCTACACTGCACCTTTGGGAGTCTGGCTTTTGAATCTAGAGAAGGCTTTTCCATTGTGTGGTCTTCAGTATTTATTAGATAAAAAAGAACGTATGGCTAAATAAGTTTGGGGGAGATAGATTTAAAGATTGACCAGCTTTCTTTACTTCTTAGATTCTTTAATATGCTGCTGCACATATAGACCCTCCAAAAAGTGATATAGTGGGGATTCTAAAACTTTTAGACAACAACTACCCCCCGACCCGTCACCCACCCCACCCCTGCCTGCCCACAACATACACACTCACATCACAGGTATTCTGGAGAACATGCCTCAAGAAATTCTGATCTAGAGTTAAGTATCCATGCGCCTAACCAAGTGAGGAGTCCTCCCTGATTGGGGCCTAGCCCTCAGTTCCCACAGCCAATCCCTGTAAGTCCTACCACAGCTGCCTCCACCACTCCGCTCAACCCAGTTCTAACTCAGGAGCTAGCCAGTCCAGGTGCCTACCCCCGCCCCCCAGGGCTGGAGGAGGACAGTCATCCAACCTGCTCGGCAGCCATATTGTCAAAGAGGCTGAGGAAGTCTACTCCGTCATTACTGGTGATGCCCATCCCTTCCTTCACCTTTTGCAAATCCTCTGAGATTCCTGGCTGCAAAGAGGCAGCCTGCCTCCGGCCTCTGCCAAAAAATAAAAAGTAATCCTGTATATTGTACAGTAATATACAGTTTACAAAGTGTATCTCATTCATTCCTCAATAACGAGACATTGGGGTTAGTTGGTATTATTCCCGTCTTACGCATGAGTCAACTGGGGCTCTATGAGTTCAAATGACTTGTGAAAGTAAGTTAGCAGGTACCAGGGCTAGAATAAAAGCCTGAATTTCCAGATTCCACTCTAGCATTTTCTTCTACTATACCAAAAGCAATACAACCATGGCCTAGGTCTACTTGAAAACAACATTCTCTCTCTTCTGTGGAATACATACTATAGAGTCTTCGTGCGGCCCAGAAATATCCGAACACTGAAAAGCACCATCAGCCCAAACCGATCTCTTCTACAGGGCAGCAAATTAGGAAGAGAAGGGAAATCTGTGTCTTCTGCTTGCCCATCTGGATTTGCAGTTCGACAACCGGCTTAATCATCTTTTACTTACTGTCAGTGTTTTCATCTGCCCCCTCTGAGAGCACGATGGTCGAGAGGACAATGGTTTGTAAAGGCAAACCCCACTCAGGCTGTACATACCATCTCTCCAGCGTAGCATGTGGCTACTCCTGAGCTTGCTGTGCCTTTACTATGAGCCTGCACTGTGAACAAGAGCTTCTTCACTTCCTGGACAGCAATGTCAGGCCTTCATGTAAAGCAGTCCTTCCCACCCCTTATCCACCAACATGGTAAGCCTAGGCAGGCCCTGAGTTCAGGCAGAGTCTACCAGCAAGAGTAAAAGGCTGTCTGTCCCCCACTGGTGAGCAAGAACCCAGGGAAGTTACCTGGTTCTTTCCCGCAGGCTCCAGCAGTTTTGGTAGTTGGGGTACAAGACTTCTGAGCTTGCTTCATCAGCGTGGATGATGATGGGTCCTGGAAGGAAGGTGGGAGCACAGGCAGGAAGAGGCTTCAGCTTGTTCTTCCCAGCATCCCTACCCCCTTCTTCTCTTGTCTGCTTCAGGAGATACATCATCAAGGTTACTCCTTAAGGACGGTACCTGCCTTCAACATGCCCTGACCTTGCCAATGGAAACTCTCCTATGGTCTGAGAAAGGGAGAAAGCAAGTAGCAGCCTGTTCTGTCTGGCACAATCCCTCCTACTGGGCCACAGATAGACTAGAGCAGGCACAGACCTGGATCAGACTGGCCCTTTCCTGACCCATTCCCAAAGATTCCTGCCTTAAGGTATTACCAGCACTTGGGCATTCTAACAAAGAATGGGGTATCCCTGACTCTATCAGAACTAGGTGACTTTCTTTTCAAAGCCCAATCCTATAGACCAATACAGTGACTCAGCACATGACAATCTACGAAAAGTGACCACAAGGCCACAAGTCCTGTCAGCCCCACAGCCTTACCCAAAAGGAAAGGCAGGTTTTCAGATGAACTGCCAAGAGCCACAATTAGGCTACAAACAATGTTTCTTATACAGTTGACCCTTGAACAACTGCGGGGTTATGGTCACTGATCCCACCGCCCACAGTTGAAAATCCACATATAACTTTTGATTCCCCAAAAACCTAACTACTAACAGCCTACTGTTGACTGAAAGCCTTACTGATAACATAAATAGTTGATTAACCCATCTTTTGTATGTTATATGTATTATATACTGTGTTCTTACAATTAAGTAAGCTAGAGAAAAGAAAATGTGATTAAGAAAATCATAAGGAAGAGAAAATACATTTACAGTTCTGTACTGTACTTACCAAAAAAAGTCGCATGTAACTGGACCCATGCAGTTCAAGCCCATGTTGTTCAAAGGTCAACTGTATACCTCCCAGTAGCTCGCTACTGCTCAGAGCCTACAAGTACCTTTATCCCCTCCCATCAAGGTGCTCTAACACCTTCCCATGCTTTGCTCTGTGCCAGACATGGCAAGGGCCTGTGGTAGCTTCCTTTTCTACACAACTCAAACCTAACCTCTGATGGCAAAAGAAAGAGCTTCTATCAGCAGCTCTCTGGAATTCACTGAGGTCAATACGTGGGGTGATTAGGTAAATCTAAGCCCCAAAGAGCTATTGTTCTCAAACAAATTGTCGATAGTCAAAACTCCAGTAGCATATGGTAACTTTACCATAATATCAAAATTCAGACACACTTTGTTGATCAAATGACCAGAGGCCCTCTCCAAATATATGTGTCCTCTGAGCAACAGAGCAAAAAGGTGAAGAGTATGGATTCTGGAACCAGACTGCAAGAGTTTGAATCTCTGTTCCACCATTTACCAGCTTTGTGTCCCTGGGGAAGTCATTTAGCCTCTCTGTGCCTTAGTTCTCTTATCTGTAAATTATTAAAAAATATTACCTACGTCATAGGGTTATCAAAAAGAATTAAACAAGTTAGTATACCCAAAGCTATTAAAAAAAAAAAGGTTTGGTACATGGTCAAATTAGAGTCCCAGGATGTTTGGGTCCAGTGGCTAGTGATGATACTGCTTCCCTCCCTGTTGGGAATGTGGGGCAGTCCCAGTCTGAGACCTGCCAGTAGGTCAGGCTGCCTCCAAGAAACAGCTTTCCTACTCCAATCATACTTTTGGTGTTTCTGAAGAGAGGACATTTGCCTTTTAGAAACTCGGCAAGTGAAGAGCTTTCAGGAGGCCAGGCACTGTGGATTATTCCAAAGCTCAGGGGCTCCCAGGAAATAAGGGGCAGCCCACTCTGTTTGCTTTATGTTACTTAGACACATGCTGTTTGTGTTCAGCAGCCAACTTCAGCCGGAAGTAGCAGCTGTACCCAACCCAGAGTGGGGTAAGGCCAGCCTCCTCTGGCCTGGAGCTTTCTATTATTTCACATAGTTTATTTTTCTAAAGGCTGATGGAAATTTTATATCTATTTGAGATACCGCTACAGAAGCTAAGCAAGAACCTTTGCCTTATGGCACCACTTTTGTATTTTAATATTGGTGAGGTCATATTGATATGAAACTCAGACTGGCAATTAAATGTAAATTTGAATCAAGTACAAATGACAAAATGCAGTTCCATTTGATAGTCAAAGGGCCTCAACACATGAGATCCATGAGGGAAAATAATAAATGTGGTCCTTGGTGGTAAAAGGTTGGGTACCATTAGCTGCGATCATTCACTGGTTGAAGATGTCAAAACCCAAACTCACTAGACTTTCTCAGGGAGGAAGGGCTGCACGGAATACCGTTACTACCATCTGGGTCGGGCGCCTGGGTGGCTCAGTCATTAAGCGTCTGCCTTCGGCTCAGGTCATGATCCCAGAGTCCTGGGATCGAGTCCCGCATCGGGCTCCCTGCTCAGCGGGGAGCCTACTTCTCCCTCTGCCCGTCTCTCTCTTTGTCCGTTATGAATAAATAAATAAAATCTTTAAAAAAAAAATACCATCTGGGTCATGCTGTGGATTATCACCAAGACCAGAGCAATAGTAGGCTTGGGTCCCAGCTAAGTGTCCCTCCTGCCCTCCTTCCTTTTCAGCAGTGTCTTACCTAAGCAAAAAGCCCCAATATTGTTCACCAGACCTGGCTAGGGCCACCTCATGCAGCCTGTGTAGAAGCTTAAGAGAAGTCAGAAGCCAGATGCACATCAGTGTGGCTGATGCATCGCTGCAGATGTGGAGGTCAAGCTGGCAAGGGCAGCAGAAGGCCAGACAAGGGAGCACCCACTAGAGTAGGTACAGCATGGAAGCCACATGTTGCAGGAGAAGAGAAACCAGAGGAACAGGCACCAAGAAAGAGGGCAGGGAGGGCTTTGGAAGTAAGAAGAAAGCTCCTCTGGGATAGGGGCTGACTTCTAGACTCCAAACTCGAACCTTCTTTCTGACATTGGAAAAGTCCAGCCAGCAAACACCGGGTAGACTCCAGATTCCGATATATATTAGTGGAACGGACACTGGAAAAAAAAAAAAAGGTAGAGACATTCATGGAAGGAAGATTCAATTATATATACTACCTTATCCTACAGCAGCTGGGAGGCTTTAAGATCACATAAGGGGAGCTACGGGGCTGGGAAGAATCCTTTATCTCTCTGTAGGATGGCTGTCCCAAGGAACCCGAAAGCCAATGAATGTCACCTCCATCGACCACATATTCACAGGATCCTATTACACCAGGGTAACTACCCTAAACTATGTTGGGTGAGAACGGGAACCATCTGGGGGGGGGGGGGGGGGGGGGGGGGGGGCCTGGGACAGGTTTCCTCATGCTTAAGGCCTTAAACTGGGTGCAACACCCCTTTTTCGAGTGACTCACAAGACCTCCAGTGGATTGAAGGCTGGCGAAAGAAAGGGGATGTCCTCCACATAGTTCTTCCTCAGCCTCTCTCCCAGGGCAAACATCTGCTGCATGCCCACGTTGGTCAGCTGTCCAGCAAACATGCCCCCCTAATGTGGGGCAGAAAGATAGAGAAGAATGAAAATACCTCACAGTCTGCAAACTCAGCCCAGAGAAAACCATGGAAACTTTACAGTGGGCTTCCCAGAGGAGGGAAGCATTGCTCACCTTCAGTTTGGTCTCATGGTATTGAGAGTCGAAAGGAGAATGTGGTTTCGGGCCACCAGCTAGATTGGTGATGGTGTAATCAAACTGAGTTTGGGGTGGGACCTCTAATAGTTGGAGATTCCACTCTGCCTGCTGTGACCGCAAAAAACAACACATTGTTTAGAAGTTTCTTGAAAGTTACAGCAGTAATATCCAGCAGCACCTCGAAGACATAGCTGGAATCACCCACAGCTTTCCCATGGGAAGGAAAGAAAGAAACTTTAACTCTAGTTCCAATTAAGGGAAGAAAAGACCGTAATTTACTATTCCAGGTGTCCTTAGCCCAAGTCCTGTTATTGCCCCACTAGTACTCACTGTTCCGATGTTGTCTGGCACTAAGCCCAGACTGCAGTAAAGGGGAGAAATGGCCAGAATGCCTAGCAGACAAACACCTGGTGAATGAATGAATGAGCGAACAAATGAATGAGTATAATATAATCTCAGTGAGCATATACTTGTAGGAATTTCTTTAGGAATCAACCTGCAGGTTTCTACGCTTCCCCACCCTTAAGGGCTCTACTTAATGTCCCTTGTAACTACCACCTATTTCCCTTCCTTTCATCCAATTTCTCAAACAAGTAGCTGCCCCCAAGAAAGCTTCACTTCTTCAGCATCTTCCTTCTCTCCTTGCAGTCTGGCTCCTGCTGCATTGTACTGTAAAGGCTTCGAAACATCACAAGTAGCCACAGATCTCAGAGCTCCAACTGCCCACGAAACTTACATTCACGGAGTCACATGTGATGACTTTAATTTTAAAAACAAAAGTTTTTTCTTCTTCCCATACACCAGCTCCTCTTCCCAACATACTATGTGATTTGCAACGACACCACAATTCTCCTGGGCCCCAAAACTCGAACCTCTGACTTTCCCCCACTGCTCCACCAGCCATGCACTAAACTCTGTTGATCACTGGCTAGAAAAAGTCACTCCCAAAGGTCCTTCTTTTATCTCGCTGTCAGAGTGTAAAACCTTATTGCACAGATTATCTCCACCACCCCCACCACCCCCATGAATCTTGCTAAGCCACTTTCATCCTATCAATAGCTTTTTCCTAATGTTTCAAGAAATAAGCACCTGGCCTTCCAGGACTTCTATACCTTGGCCCAGCCCCTGTCCCCAGCTGTACCGTCACTAAGCCTCTCTCCTCCCCTCCCCAGACCTGACAATGCCCATTGCTTCCTCTGCATCTTCTTTTAGCTTGCTTCCCTTGCTTGGAGAGACTTCTCTCCCTACTGCCCATACAACTTCTCTTCAAGGTCCAATGACAGCTCAAGTCTTACTTTCCATCAGTGACTACTCCAGCTTTTAGTGGGTTGTCTTCTTATCTGAATTCCTACAATACTTAAAGTCACAATAATATTTAATTCAATTCCCCACTACTTGTTTTCGTTTTAAAGCTAACATCTGTAAACTTACTATGTCATGTATCGTTGTATTTATCTTGGCCTCTCCCAGAAAGATCCCAGGAGAGCACCACTGGGAATCCCAGGTTCCTTTCACACAAAGGAAGCCCTCTGTTCTTTCAAAAGGCATTGTCTCATTCCCACCCGCAACCAGTCCCCCAAACCTGAGCCTCTGCCCCCGGGGGGTGCTACAGCAACTGATATCAGAAGATTGTGTGTTCAGAGCACAGACCTTCTTCCCACTGTCTTTTAATCACGGCTCCTTCTTTCAAAATTCTGATCCTATAACTTCCCTGCATAAACCCTCCAAGGGCTCACAACTACATGATGGACTCTGCCCCTCCCTCCCTCTCTCTCTCTCCATCACTTCTTCCCTGTCTTATACACTTAGTCTCTAGCCATACAACTCCATCTCCTATAGCACCATCCTCACACTTCCTGGCCTTTCAACTTCATGTTTCTTCTACCTGAAATTTTCTTTTTCATCTGGAAAGACTTCTGCTCATTCCACAAGATGGCTTAAATGTTCCCAGAGGCTGTGACCATGGGCCCATGCTCTCACAGTAGCTTCAGTGCCTCTTTTGGTAGCCCATACCAAACTGTATTAGAAGAGCTTCTTTACTTGTCTGTCCTGCTCAGCAGTCCTGCTCTGAGAACAGAGACGGGGTTGTCTACCCCTGCATTTTGAAGGCCCAGCAAAGGGCTTGGCTCACAGTAGGTACAATTAACAGCTCTACCAATTTGCCAGACCTTGTGGAAGACACAAAGATGGAGATAATATGACCCTGCCTTTTCTCGGTTTTCAGGTTAGTAGAGACAGTGAGCTATGAATGAAAATGATAGCAGCACCAAAACAGAAACTATGTGCCACATGAAACCAGCTGAAGGCCACAGCAGTTCAAAGACAAGAAAAACCTCTTCTGGCTGGGAATTCAGGAAAAGTTTCATGACAGGAATGGCCTTTGAGGTGAAGAGGATTTAGACAAGCAAAGGCCTGGACTCGAGAGTAAGAGGTAGGTAAGGAGAGGGTGGTATTTGGAATTCCAAGAATAGGCAGAAGTTTGAGCAAAGCAGAGATGGCGAAGAATGCATACAGGAAAGAAGTGGTTTGGTTTGCCTCAACCTGGGAGCAGTTTTCAAACTTTTTAATTAGCAAATACCAAATAGAATTTGATTTTAGATTTCCATATACAAAGGCAAAAACTGGAGTTCCTCCAGTTGAAGTAGGAGTGGGAATACAGAGCCCCAGCCACTTGGCATCCCCCTAGGCTACAGGCTCCAAAGAATAGTTTGAAAACCAGCAGCACAGATCATAATTAGAATGGGAAGACTGATGCAGAAGCCAATTTCAAGATGTCTACAACAGAGCTGATGAGGGCCTAAGGCCTCATCTAGGGCAGTAGGAATAGAAGGGGTGGATGCGAGACATGGGAGTCAAACCTGGCAAGTGAGTAGATAAGAGTTTTATTTGGGGGCTACGTTGGTAGGTGAACAAGGAAGAAGAAAGAAAAAAATTACTTTGATTTTGAGGTTGGGTGCCTAAGGTGACAAGAGGTCCTCCATGACTAAACCTAAGACCAACACAGAAGACAGTTGACAAGGTGAGTTCAGTTTTGGACATTTTAAGTTTGAGGTACCTCCTTTGTGTTCCCAGGGCTTCCAGCATATTCCCATAATTGGAATCTCTTTTCTCTCTCCTTCAGCACATCTCTTTTACAGCCAACACTGAATTATCCAACCTTGTAAGTCCAGTGTTTAGCCCAGGTTCTGACACCAAGGCCACAGGGCCTATTCAGCCTTACTAAGAAATCTCCTGGGGCGCCTGGGTGGCTCAGTCGGTTAAGCATCTGACTCTTGACTTCGGCTCAGGTCATGGTCTCAGAATCTGAGCCCTGTGGCGGGCTCCTCTCTCAGCAGGGAGTCTGCTTGAGATTCCTTCTCCCTCTCCCTCTTCCCCTCCCCCTGCTCGCACTCTCTCTCAAATAAATAAATAAATCTTAAAAAAAAAAGAGAGAGAGAGAGAGAGAGAGAAATCTCCTCTTGTTAAGGACATCCAGCAACAGAGGATCTTTGGTGTTTCCCAGGAGATGACTCCTAGAAGTCTAGGTCATGTCAAATCTGCAGTACCTGTTTTCAAAATTTTAACAGATGATATACCAGGTCCATACATGGTGTCCACCCCACATGCACACTTGCTCTTTAGCTTCCAAGTTAGCGGCAAAGACTAACTTTATAATTTTACTTACTTATTTATGCCCCATTTTTAAGAACATGAGGTAGATGATAGCAATACCTAAAATACAGTAAAACAACCAATTCAAAATAGGCAAGAAAGACAGAAGCAAACAAATATAGGGACAAAAATTGGACACAGAAATAAAGTTTCTCAAAAATGTACACTATTAAGATTCACATACTTAATTGTTAGGTGGGCCAAAGATTCGGCACTAAGCTTTCCGGCTTTTATGTAAAGGAGAAACTTGATCAGCTAGACAAGCCTAAAGATAAAAGCAAGACAACTGTTCAGGAGAAGCACACCATTTCTAAAGCTAACAGACAAATTCCTTCCAAGGGTCCTCATAAAGAGGATAGAGCAATATAATGAACATCTTCTCAGTAGTCACAGCAATGAGTTCTGTGGGATTGTTTCTCAGTTTCCTCAAACACAGAATGATAGCAACTCACCAAAGCACATTTCTGTGAAGATAATACTATACTGGGATTCATATGCTACATTCCAAAGGTAAAAGGAAATAATCTACATAGAAGTAAACAAAACCCTTCTGGGTGTAGAATTTAGAATAAAGCAATGGTTTTAAATCTTGGCTGCATACTGGCATCACAGAAAAAGTTTTTTAAAGGAAACTGATGCCTGAGCACCATCCTGAGCTCATCACATCTGGATCTCCTGGGGTGGGGCCTCAATTTTTTTAATGCTATCTAGTCCAGATAATTCTAAAGCTTCACCAGAGAGGCTGTTGCCATGTCTGGATGCTCTGGGCCAATTAGAATCTCTAGGAGGAGACCCGAGCATTAGTATTTTTTAAAGCTCCCCAGTTGAATCCAATGTCCTGCCAAGAACAAGCAGTTAAGAACACTGCTCCAGAGGAATGAATGGACTCACTGCCATATCCTTCATGCACTGCTTCCTGAATACTGCTTCTCTTAGCTGAGCTTTGGGTAACTATTAAGTAACAATGAGACTGAGAGTATGCTTCCCACCTTGCCTACATTATCAAATAAATAGGAACCCAAATTCTTTAATCAATAGTGGAGCTGAGATAAGTTGGACTTTGTTTTATAAAAACTGAGGAACCTGCCTGAGTTGGAGGCCATCTTGGTTAGAGGTGAGCTCAGAGAAATCTGAATACATCTATCTTGTCAATGTGTACTTGGATCTAACCTAATAATCAGGAAAAATAGCCAATCAAGTTCCAGAGCTTTATTTCCCAAGCACAGCTGAAGGAAGACAAGTCAACAGCCATTCAGGCCAAAAGAAAACAACTCAATAAAACATCTAATTTTAGGGGCACCTGGGTGGCTCAGTCAGTTAAGCATCTGCCTTTGGCTCAGGTCATGATCCCAGGGTCCTGGGATCGAGTCCTGTGTCATGTTCCCTGCTCAGCAGGGAGTCTGCTTCTCCCTCTCCCTCTGACCCTCCCCCTTACTTGAGCTCCCAGTCGTTCTCTC